ACTCAATTATTTATTATTGTTTGGTAAATTTTTTTCATATAAGATGTGCATGCCAATGTTTTAATTTATGTGTACAAGATTGGGTTGAAAAAATTCTGATTTTTTTAAAATTTCTCCAATTAAAAGCTATTTCATTTTTATGGATCACATTCCCCAAGTGATGAAAAGTTGGCTAAATTGTAAAGAAAATAATAAAAAGAGCCAAAACGTTTCCAGGGAGTCCCCAACCGTTGGACATTCAAGCATATGAATTACTAAACGAGTTTTTCTTATAAAGAATTATTATGTTTTTTTGTTTACTAAATAATATTGATGGATATTAATTTTATATCAACAAAATGGAAGATTTGTGCAAAAAGTTTAATATTTATAAAAATTTTTTAATGATGCTACCTATAAATTTAGTGGAGTTTATTAATCCCACATCTAATTTTATTTTACCTATGGTGGTATTAATATTGTTACTGGTGGCAACACAGGTAGAAATTTTCCAAAATGATGATTTATTAAAAGATTGTATTTTTTTCAAAATGAAAAAAAAATGGTTTATCTTAATTTAAAAATATACTCACCTCTTTATCTTGATTGCTGTTTTATTTGTATTTGAGTCCTAGATGTAGTAATGGATACTTTTATGTGATTATTTGACTATTTATTAATGACGTATTAAATCTTGATGTAGAAGATAATGTTAATGATAAATTGGTACTAGTGCATGAAGTTTAAACAAAATATTATGCAATTTATGATAATGAAATTTGGTTTTCTAGTTCATCTACTTCTATTTCTACTTCTTCTCAATCTAATATTCCACAATTTTCAACATAAAGGGTAAGTGGTGTTGGTGTTGCTCAATAAGTTTCATTGCAAAGACAAAAAAGAACAAGGGAATCCAGTTCTATTTCTGAATTTGATAATTATCTAACAACTTCTTTTGAGTTTGGTGATGATTATGCTGATGCAGATTTTCCAATTTTAGATTGGTGGAGTCGTCACGCAAATACTTTTTCAATTCTTTCTTTACTTGCAAAACAAATTTTAGTAGCTCCGGTCTCCACTGTTGAAACAAATTTTAGCTAGTCTCTGCTGGTTATCTTTCACTGGCGGTTGAACAAGCTTTATGTCTCCAAGTTGTAGGTATTCATACTTGATGAAATCATCTGATTCTTTTCTCTTGTATGATCATTCCCGATTCATTAGAAGCACAAGCGTTGCGTGGATGAATTGGACCAGCCGAACTATATGTATCCCAATGTATTTATTCCTTATATTATTATGTATATATATGATATGTATATATGATTATTACGATGGGCCTCAACGGGAACATCAATCCAGTGGGGGTGGTGCAAATAGCGATTAAGAGGTAAAAGGTGGAGAGATTAATATAGAGAGTAAGTAAGAACTACGTTGGGCTTTGATTCCTCTTATAACCCAAGAGGATACGTAAGGTAACTGTAATTTTTTTTAAAACAAAAAAAAAAAAATTAAGTTCAAGCCCCGAGTTTTGGTGTGTTTTAATTTTTGTTCAAGACTTAAAAAAAAAAATAGAATTCAAGTTCAAAATTTTTTAAGAAAATCATATATGGTCACACTCAAGCATTACAGGGTGCTTTAAAAAAATAAATTTAATTGAAGGGTGGTTGTGTTGGAGGATTATTTTAGGTGTATTTTTAGTTTTATGTGCTGCATGGATTTTGTTTGTGTGGTGGAGAACAAAATCTCTTCTATATTATATTATAATTTTTTAGGTGTATGTTTTTTTAAAAGTTTTTTCATGTCAAAGGAATGGATGAGAGTTGTTTGTTTTTTAACCGGGTCTTCATATTTATTAAATTTTTAACTCTGTATTTTTTAATTTTTTAAATGTTCACCATAAATTTTTTTTTTTATAAAGCCGGTATCCAAATTTAAATTTAATAAATTATGCGTAGTTATACGCCGTAAACCAATCGGGACCTGTCGGTTTGTAATCGGAGTATCGGAACCTGGGGAAACCTGGAACCGGACCGGAACCGGAAACCATTTCGGTTCGAGTATCCGATTCCAGCTTTTCTGGAACCGGAACCGCGGTTCCGGGAACCGTCGGCCCAATGCCTACAACACACACTAGCAAAGTACGGCTATTAGGGAAGTGGGGGTCATTCGTGTACACACACACTACACACACCACATATAGTATATATATATATATAGTATATATATTAAATATATATATATATATATAAGTTATTAGTAGCTAGGTTCCATATTTTAATAGATTAGTAGCTAGAGTTCCATATTATTTCTCGAAAATTTTAAGTGTTCTCAAATCGAAATTTCCGATAATATATTTTTGGGCTTGGGCTCAACTAGCAAATTTGGGCCCGAATCAAGATTGTTTACTATTTACGGCCCATACCGTCAAAAATTCATATTTTTGATTTAATAAAAATTCAAAGGTTTCGAAAATAAAAATTCAGGGTGTTTCACTTTTTTTCCCATACAAATAATAAATTACATATTTACAAAGAACATTGAGTGATATAAAAGGAATTATGTGATTCTCTTCAAAAAAAAAAAGGAATTATGTGATGATATTTTTGTATAATGTCTATACGTGTCCCCAGTTTAAATGACTTTTGTAGTGTGACTCATGTGGTTTTAAATTATTTCTTCTTTCATCTCTTTCCGACCGTTGTTCCACACAATTAAGAGCACTAAAAAAACAACAACTACATTAGTTAAAAGTCTACATATACATACAAATCGGTTGGATATAGTTAGTTTCTAATATGATCCGTTTTATATTAAGAAAATGAAGAACTTTTAATTATTGTATTCCTCAATGCAAATGCAGTGTCTTTGGTTTTGAAACAATCTTGATTGAAATCCAACTGCTTAATTTCAAGGAAAAAAGTCTACTATTGAAAAGAAAGGGAGAACTTGAGCTAATAAACAATTTCAAAAAATAATATTTCATCCGTTCTATTTTGTTTGCTTGTTATTCCTTTTCTGGATGTTTGAAAATATTTGTAAGATTTCTAAATTTAGATATATAAATAATTATTTTTTTCATAATAATATTTATAATTATTCATTAATTGAAGGGCTTTTAGTATCTTAATGAGTTATTAAGGATAAAGAATGACAAAATAACTTTTATTGATTAAATTCTTAATATGCGTATTTTGTCAAACCATTATGCGATTTTTGTCATACCAATGGCTTTTAGTATCTTAATGAGTTATTAAGGATAAAGAATGACAAAATAACTTTTATTGATTAAATTCTTAATATGCGTATTTTGTCAAACCATGTAAGTAAAATAGAACGAAGATAGTATACTAAATATATAAAAATATGTTAACCCATCAGAAGAGAGAGAGGACCACCTTGAGATGATATTCAATTGCAGAGGATGTTTTTGTCGTGGATGACGTGACTTTCAGAAAATTTGTATAGATGAGTAAAAATATATATACAGTTATAGATAAGAAAATATTCCACAAAAATATGTGGATGATTTAAAATTTAAAATCTATATATAGTTATAGATAAGAAAAAATATTCAAAAATTTAAAACTACATAATTATGTATTTATCTATTAAATAGAAATTTAAAATCATAGTAAAATAAAATAAAATTTAAAACAAATTCAAAATTCTATAAAAAGAAAAATAGAAATGTTGAACATAGAGAGAGTCTTGAATTTAAAGAAAAATATATATCTTTACCGTTTATGGAAATGGTTATCTATTAAACCCTAAATCGAAATTTGAAATGCAGTCGTTTTAGTCCAACTTAATTGACAACTTCTTTATTCCAAGTTGGTAGTTGGAGCCTTCTCCCTCTGGGTCCTCTTTCTCACTTGCGAATTGTGAATTGATTATTATTTTATAATTTATAATAAAAAAAGAAAGAAAGAAGAGACAGATTCACTGGTCAAAAAAGAACAATGAAGAAGAAGAAAAAAATGGGTTTTGTTCCATTAGTCGGATGTTTTAACGCGGGACGGCCGTCGCCTGGATTTCAGTCTATCTTTGCTTCGACGAGTAAGTTGGCTGTTTTTTCTTTCTACGGCTTCCTCCTCTGTATGTTTGATGTATTTTGTTTTCTGTTGTGCAGAATCATAATCAGAAATAGTTGAATTGGCGCGCCCCGGATGGGAGGTCACTGCTCTAAGGATTCGGATTCCAATGTTGATTATCATAAGAGCAAGAAGAAAGAGGGATTGCAAGTGAAGAAACAGTCTCAAGAGTCTAAAAAACCAAATGTTCCATTGGATGATTTTTATGATGGAATTCCTCGCTATCAATCCCTCAAATCAAGGTCCTTGCGCTCTAGGCAATCTGCGGTTGCTAAGGTTTTCTTTTTCTTTATTTTACTCTCTCCAAATCCTCTCCTAATAACCATTTTTCTCCTTGGAGACTATCCACATCATAACCTATGATAATTCTGTTTTGGTCTGCAAATTAATGGCGTGCGATGATCACTCAGGTTTCAGAGGTCAGTTCACGTCTGGGGAGAGCTGGTACTCTTGGGGTAGGAAAAGCTGTTGAGGTCTTGGACACACTTGGGAGTAGCATGACGAATTTAAACCCCAACAATGGATTTGCATCTACTGTTGCAACCAAAGGCAATGAACTTGGAATTTTGGCTTTTGAGGTGGCAAACACCATTGTTAAAGGTTCTAACCTTATGCATTCCCTTACAAAAAGAAATATAATGCATTTGAAAGAAGAAGTGCTTTCTTCAGAAGGTGTGCAAAAGCTAGTATCAAAAGATATCGGTGAACTCTTGAATATTGTTGCAGCTGACAAGAGGTGAATATCATGTAAAATGGCCGTTATAGTGCATCTCTTGACGAGTTCTCTTTCAAATATTTTCTCCAAAATGGTGTCTTCATGAATTTGTTAAATTTATGTTTTCAGGGAAGAATTGAAAATCTTTTCAGGAGAAGTTGCTCGTTTTGGAAATCGATGTAAAGATCCTCAATGGCACAACTTGGACCGTTATTTTGTAAAGTAACATATAGCACTTTATCTTTCCTAACTATTGGTTTTATGCACTTCTTTATCGCATGTTACTGGTTGAATTATTTTTTGATTTCCAGGATTGGCAGAGATCTTACTTCTCGAACGCAATTGAAGGAAGATGCAGAATCTGTGATAGAGCATCTGATGACTTTAGTTCAATATACAGCTGTGAGTTCCTTTCTTTAAGCATTGGGGAAATCTAAATGGTGGACAAATGTCCTCTTTGAACTTAGTATGAGATCTGCAAAATAATAAATAAATAAATAACTATATACTCCTCTAGCATAATTCGATTTGTGTTTTCTTTTGGAGTTTATGTTCTCAGGGCAGCTTTGATACTGTGTAGTGAAGTAAGTTTGCCTTTGGTTTTAGTTTGGTTTGGTTTGGTTTTGATATTTACTTTAACTTAGAATAGAATGAGTTTGGTCCATTTTATTTATTAACCACTAATTGAATTTTTTTTTTTTTGCCATTAAGTATATAGATATTTATTTATTTATTCCTTTATAATAGATGTTTATTATAAAAGTTTAATGTGCTGCAATTAATTAATTCACATTGGTTTAAATAATGTAAATTGACTTTCTTTTTTTTTTTTTTTAATTTTCTAAATAAGGTTTTGCTCTCCTGCATATATACAATGTTCACTCTGAGGCATGTTATGTTAAAACATACTGTGTTTAGGCCTTTTATTACCAGTTTTGCACTTTCCTATTGTAAAAAATATGGCTTCTGTCTCTTGTAAAAAATAGAAAACACTGCTTCCAAGAGCCATTCTGTTATGGTCCCAAATTTGGATCTAGTTTGTATATGGGTCCCAATGTGGATCTAGTTACTGGGTTCCTTTGAATCTAGGGAATCAGGTTTTGAGCATGGGTATTCTTTTAGAAGGAGTTTTCTTCACTCTCATTCAGTTGGTGACAGATTAGAGAGGAATCTGCAATCTCCTAGAGCTCGTTAAAGAGAGAACTCGACAAATCTCTAGAGTTCTTAGGAACTTCAAAACCTTTCATTAAAAATTCTGCTATTACATTTATTCCTGATATCACAACCATTTTAACACAACTAAATGCGAAGCTTAAAACTACCCACTACCACTGAATAACTACCCATTACGATAAATAAACTTGCTTAACCACCCCACTAATAAACCATTAACAAAGAACTATAATAACATGATAAACACTGTACTAACAAATAAAAAACACGTAAAATAGGCAGTAATAACAAAGAAACTGATAATAACATGATAAACACTGAATAACTAAATAAAAACACCGTAAATAGCAGTAAAACTACCCTAAGTCCAGCAGCGCTATAACACATTCTTTCATAAATCATGCAATTTTAGTCCCAGAAATAATAAGTGTGTGTTTTATATTATTTTATGGATGTCCATGTTCATTTGTTGAATTTCCTGAAGCCATAAAGTGTAAACAAAACTTAATTCCTGAGGAAATGAACTTTGATTGAAGTTGGCACCTGCAATCATCCAACTATTCTTTTACCATTGCTTTGTGCAGAGGAATATTTTTCATTTCCTGCAACATGGAAGAGTATTAAACTGACAGTGCAACTTATTAAGTTGCCATGATCTTGGGACTTGTCGACCAACTTACCTAGTACTGTCTTTTATTGTGGGGAGTCTCAAACAATTGAATAGATTTAAGGTTCAAATTATGAAAGTAGGTGACTTTTAGAAATTTGAATTAGAGCGAGAAAAGCAAATAAATTGCAGGCTACGGTAGTAGCTGAAAGAAGAAGGAGAAGAGAGAAAAGAGGGAAGAATGGTTCACTAGGTACAGGGAACTTCCAAGCCAAATTAAAATACTCAAAATTCCATTATAAGAAAAAACAAAAAGCAGACCAAAGTAAAAAGAAAAAAAAGAAAAGAAAAGAAAACACACTAACACTCCATTTGGTATAGATGAATTCAAAATGCAGAATTTATTTGTGAATGAATTCCAAGTAGAATTCATTTGCAAATGATTTGTTCATGTTTGGTATGATGTAAACTAAAACATAGAATTCAATTGAATTCCATATCCTTCTTCTTTGGAATAAACTCAAAATTGAAAAATTCATTTGCTTTATTGCCTAAGATACACTTGACGCTGTAATTTTATGAAAACAAATAATAGGTACCAATTACAGTAATATGAGAATTAATAATGAATTTGTTAATATTCAAAACTTATTTTTAAATATTTTCTTTAAAAATAATTTAAAATTTTATTTAATTAAAAAAATTATTTTTGTTAATTTATTTTTCCAAACAAGCAAAATACAACAATTAGGCCTTAGTCCCAAATTAGTTTGGGTCAGCTATATGAATTCTTTGTTGCTAATTCTGTTCTATTCAATTAATAGCAAGAAATAATTAAAGCATAAATTAGGGAAACAAAGGATTTTGAAAAAGGAAAAGATAGTTTTTGTAAAGATTTTTAAAATCATTTGCTTTATTAAGTAATAAATAAGTATAAGACAAAAAATAATAAAAAACCTTTAGCCTAAACTAGTTGGGTCAGAGATATGAATCTTTTATCTTTATTTTATTCTGTTCATAACTAGATACTCATGAATATCAAGAGATCGCAAATCTTTTACGATTACTTCCTTTCATGTGGTTCTAGGTCTACCTCTTCCTCATTTAGCATGCTTCACCACCAAAGTATCACACTTATGAACTATCACATACGTCTTTCTCTCATTTTATCTCCTACTACTGCTTGCACCTTTTATTGAAAATGGTAATTCCTAATCTTGTCTAACCTTGTGTGATTACACATTCATCTTAACATTCGCATATCTGCCAAATTCGTTTTTGGATATGCTGGGCATCGGTGCTCAATTCACTCCCATATAGCATTGTAGGTCTCACTACTATCTTATAAAGCTTACCTTTCACCTTGTTAGGTATCTTCCTATCACATAGCATGCTATGACACTCCTCCATTTCATTCATCCTAATTGAATTCTATGTGTCACATTTTCATCAATCAAACCCCCATTCTAGAAAATAGAGCCTATATATCTAAATTTACTGCACTTGGGCACCACTATACCATCCAATTTATTCTCTTTCCTTATTCTTATTTATGCCAAACTCATAGTGCATTTATTCTGTTTTGCTTCTGCTTAGCTTAAAACCTTTACTTTTGAGAGTGTTTTCCATAATGCAAACTTTTGGTCTAATCCTTCACTAGTTTTATCGATTAGGTCAATATCATTTGCGAATCGTATGCAGCAAGGTACTCATCTTTTATCTTACTGGTACTTTGGCACCTTTACAATGTCTCTGATTCTGTGTTCTATTACTATTTTCCAAAGTTTCATTGTGTGACTCACAAGTTTAATACCTTGGTAGTTTGTGCAGCTTTGGATATCTCCTTTGTTCTTATATATTTGGTATCAATACGCTCTTTCTCTACTTATTTGGCACCTTTCTACCTCGTAGGATAACATTGAATAGCTTGGTTTAATCAATCAACTCCTGCTTTGCCAACACTTTTCTAGACCTCAAACAAGCCAAATACTAGAGAATAAAAAAGATATTTTATAAGATAATATCTTTTACAAAATAAAACAAAATATAAAAGTTATTGACTCTTTTCATTTTTTTTTCTTTTCCTTTTTTGTAAATAATAAAAGGCCAACTCAAGTTACTCAAGCAACAGACCAATGACTCTTCATAGAAGTGGAAGAAATATAAAGCATAAAAAAATAAAGAGTATGCTAAAAAAAAAAATATCTGCATTTTAAAGGGGAAAATGGGAGGAGGTTTTGCCGGTAAAGTTTGGGTTGTTTAGTTTTGTAAAAATCATTTGGAAATTTCACCTATTTTGATTGAATTTGTGCTAGTTATGTTTAATTCCACAGAAATAGTATTGTAGAATTGCAATCTTCATTTTTTATTCCAAATGTAAAAATTTGGATTTACAAAATTTTATGGAATTCATTTGTTGTGAGCAGGGGGCAAGAAAATAACCAAGTTAGCTATTTATAAAGATTAACTACTCACATTGGGTTAAAGTCCATATCATGAAAATTTTAGCCAGTATTAGCATACTAAATTTCTAAATAACAAATCAATAACAAAAGAAGAGATTCCAACTCATATTAACATACTAAATTTCTTAAACAGGAAATATTGCAAAAAAAAAAAAAAAAATCTTAATAAAAAAAATCCTGAGTTCTTGTAGTTAGAGTTAATTAAGATAATCATTAAAAAAAAAAAAAAAAAATCTGAATTTCTTGTAGTTAAAGAGTTAAATTAAGATAATCATTAAATTGGATTCCTTGACCTGCATCAAGTCATTGTTCTTTTCCAAAACTATGAGCAAGACACCTTGGAATAACAGAAGAAAACCATAAAACGCACTCATTTTTGCCTGGGCAATCTGTAATTATTGTCGAATTATATAAGTTTGTGGATTTGGAGAATGTATTTTCTGAAGAAGATAAATATGAATATTTTGTGGTATACAGGAACTATACCATGAATTGCAAGTGTTGGATAGAATTGAACAAGAATGTCACCGGAAGCGCCATGAGGATAATGGCACAGTTGCAGGTCAAAAAGGTAACTTGTGTACAAATTTTTTACCACTGCTCTTGATTTGAACTGCATCTATTCATATTTTGGAAAAGATGTTCATATGATTTGAAGTATCAGTGCGGTGAAGAATCTAGATAATCATGGCATATATCGATAATTCTGAGAAATTCATTGAGTGCTAAAATATTTATAGAAAATGTAAAATGATGCTATTGACTGACTATCTCATTCTGGCTGTTGCACGTATGAAAGTCATAAGGAATATACATATGCCTTTGGCTCATTCAATTATTGAAAAAAGATGCTATTTGCTAATTCTGGATATCAACTACAAAGGTTACAGGCAAAATGCAGCTCATATTATGATTTGCATATATGTGATGGTAAATGTGCCATCTATTCGCAAATGATGCTTGGCCTAGTAGCACAAGCTGATGCCATGGGACTGATCACCCTGTCTGTCGACTTCCATTAAGTGTGCAAATGCGTTTTTCTGGCCTTATTTGGTCTGGGCTGCATTTATGATGGACCTCATGTTAAAATATGCAATGTGTTTCAAAATTTGTAATTAAAAGTCTGCTTGAATTGCACTACGGTGTGCAAATTTGTAATATATCCTTTGTACATAGAAACCTATCTGATGGAAAACAGATTGATGTAGGACAGCTTGGCAAAACTTGAAGTTTTAGGAGATTAGGGCTAGGGTTTATAGAAGTCAAGAATTATTTGAGAAATAAAGGAAAAAATAAGCAAACGAAAATGAACTACTAGCATCACATTAATAGGATCTATGACTTACTCCTATCAAGAAAGAATCATGCTCTCTAGGTTTAGAATTTTAGCACACAACTCAATGATTAAAGCATAATCTGCTGTGATTTTATTGGCTGAAAACTTGATTGTAAGCATTATAAGCATGGGTATTTGTAGATCCAAACTACTGCTAAACCTTTACTTAATATTACCTTAAAACTAATCCTCATCAACCTTCAAAGATTTGGACTCCCAAACTAAATTAAAAATTAAAGCCATTAACCTAGACCAACAAGGATAGAAAAGATAAATTACAGAATTACCCCTTAAACTTCTTGATTAGCAACTTATTTATTAAAATAGACATAAATATTATTCTAAAAGGTTTAGAAATATACTATATTATCAAAAATAAATTATAGATACAATGTACTATGTAACCCTAAAATTCTCATCGCTGTGAATTTGAATTTTCTTGGTTTCCTTGTCCACTTCACTGATACAATTTGAATAAGTAAAAATGCTAAACATATTTCACTTTTATGTTATCAACACAAGTATTTATTATTATGGGTAGGATTTATAATAAGTGTACTCGTAATTATAATCTTTTGTCACAAAGACCTTTTAATTCTACTAAGACTTTCTTGTTTTACTTTATTCTTGGAGTTTATGAGTTTAGGTTAAGTTCTACAATTAGAACTGCATATAGATACTAATAGTTAGTTAAAATACCCAAGTTGCCCAAATACCTTGTTAGGGATATAAGTTGTATGAAAACAAAATTACTTATCAGTCAATTCAAATTTTCTTATAACAATTTAAATTTAATTAACCTAAAATCTTTTTGTATATAATATAATATCATAAACCGTCTATATTACTAAAATGAGAAACCAATATGAGCTATTGTAATATGTATTGATTATTGTTTTAAAGCATTGATTATAATTTCGATATTTTTCTTTTTTTTTTTTTTTTTAACTTTTTGCTAAATCTAAAAGTATATAATTAATTTTATGGTTGCTTTTTTTGAGAAAATATTAATAATGTTTTGTTTTGGATTTAAATAAGAAATCAATTTAATCAATCCGAATCATGTTTTTTTATAAATAATAATTTTCTTATTTTATTTGTTAACCAATCAAAATAGGGGGTAATTTATCATTATTAAATTAACCATATTTTTTTTTGTCCCAACATTACACTTCTTATTGATGCTTTTTTTATATACATATTCTCACTCGAGACTTAATAATTATAATTAGCAATATATTATAAATGAAACGAAATAAATCTAATTATATAAAGGTACCAGAAACTTTAATTTATTGAACAAATCCAATTTTTTGAAAAGGAAATATGTAGATAAGTAAGCTAGGACATTTGAGAATTGAAAAAGCAAAATTAAATTACATAAATCACTATTAACAAAGATAGAAATGAAAAATTTGTAAGATAAAGTAATAAAAATATAAAAACAAAAACATAAAAATAACACAAAATAACATTTTAAAGCATGCATATATATAAGAAAAAATGTTAAAGAATTTCTTGTGCAATAAGATAGCTAATTTCTTATGCAATAAGATAGCTTGTATAATTCAATTAATATTTCTTATAATTGGATTTTTTTTTAATATGCCAATTAATTTCTTATGAAATAGATTTTATTAATTATAATATATAATTTATTTTGCTTTATAACCAATCATATTAAAACTATATTAGAAATTATTTAAAATAATTACCTTTTATTCTACTATTGTAAATTAAAAAAAATTATTTGGTATTGTAAATTAAAAAATTATTAAAAATAATTACCAAAATTTGCATCTTGACTCTTCAAAATCAAGTTTGATATTAAACCTTAAATCCAAAATTAGGAACCTTAATTCTCAAATTAGGAATTTTTTCTTATATATAATTGCGTATCCTGACCCCATACTTAATTAGAAGTATGAACCAAAGACATCAAGGTGAAAGAAGAATGCCACGAAGATTAATTATCTTTGATAAGTTTGAAAGCAAGTTTAATGAAGAACCAAAGGGAATACGTCTCTTTTGAATTCAATAGCATAAACACATAAACTAAAATCTGTCCGTACAATAAGTTTGAAAGCAAGTTTAATGAAGAACCAAAGGGAATACGTCTCTTTTGAATTCAATAGCATAAACACATAAACTAAAATCTGTCCGTACAATACTTGAAAGTAAGTATTTATATTTAGGAAACTCTAAAACTCATTAAAACATAAAGCCCAATTCAAATAGGCCAAAGCCCACATGTTTGGATAATGTTAATTAGCCTTGGATCTTATTTTAAATCCATCCTTTTATGATCACCATAAGCTTGTTGATTTCATTACTCGACACGCATCATACCCTCTTTTTGAGAAGGATTTGTCCTCAAATCTAAATCTTTACTGCTGTATAAGTGTGTTGGTGTATTCGTTCTTTCAAGTGCAACTAGATCAATGCATTCTCCTGAATCAAATGGAAAGTTCTTGAATTCAATACGATCAGATTGAAAAGAGTATAGTATTATCTCTCCTAGCTAATAGAAGTGTTTTCCTTTTAGTTCCAAAATCTTCATTTTATCAAAGTATGTATCCAATTTTTGCTCTTTTGAGTACCTGCTATAGGTTACAATAAAATCAAGGTGTCAACAAATTTACAAAGATCATGTTTTATTGGTTGCACAAAAATGCCATGCAACTTCTTTTCAAGTATAGAATCGACTTGATGTGCCATTCCTTGAATAGACAGCGGTTTCTTTTGTAGTTCCACCTTAGATACAATAAAATTCTCTTCAACTAGTTGCATCTTTCCTACTTTCTCTTTTACTGCTAAAACAGGGTAGGAATTAGTTGAGAATGACTTTGATTTACCCTTGATCATAAACAAACTTCCCTCTTTTCTTTTCTCCAGCCAAAGATCATTAGTTTGTACTCATTGTGAATCAAGAGGTACTAAAGTTATTTTTCTTCCATCCTTCATTAAAGAACGAGTTTCTTTGATTTTATTATGATTAGCATGCCATTGTCTTCCCAAAAGCAAGTGACTAAAACTCGTTTGAGCCACGTCACATAATACCTCATCTTTATACATTCTTTTTGAAAATGGAATAGGAATTTGTGCAGTCACACCCTTACCTCGCTACCTTCGTTTAGTCACTGAAGATTGTATGGATGAGGGTGTAGGTGGTAGATAACCCTAGTTTTTCTACCAAGTGAATCTATATTGACGCAACTGTCTTCATCAATATAACTCTACCAATCTTATTACTATTTATTGAGAATGTAGTGTGGAATGTCTTCATTTTTTGCTCATCATCATTATTGCCATAAGCATTATGAACATTTCTTGGCTGCCTCCTTTGTAGGTTATCATTAAGTGTTCCATTCTATCTCTTATCTCTTTGTTAAGGATTAGTTGTAAATAGAGTTCATTAAAGTTTGTAAATAGAAGTCTATTCAGGAAGTTAGATTCTTTAATTAAGTTTTGGATTTGTAATTCCTAAATACTAGGTAGGCTAGAATTCTTATATATAGACCTATGTAATCGAATTGATGAGATACACGAAATAACAATTACAATAAATTCTTTCACATGGTATCACGAGCCTTCATAAAAAAAAAAAAAAAAAAAAAAAAAAAGAGAAATTCCCCGAAACTTCCCTTGCGAGAAGCCATTGCCACCCTAGGAAGCCTTTCTAGGGTTAGTATTTTGTCTCACCACCGACCTCAGGATATTCTCCAGCTACCGACTGGTGTTCCCTCCAAATCCGGTCATTGGATTTCCTGCGTGTGGGCCTCACGCGCCGATTTTGTTTTCTGCTACAGTACCACGCGCTGGCGCGTGGCAGCTGTTTCCGGCGATTGGAAATAAGTCCTCTGGCTTCGTTTCCACGTCAGCAGTCTACTCAGGTGGTTGTTTTTCCGATCCAACGAAGTTTTGGTAGGGGCGTTCTCAGTTTTGTCAATTTAGCGTTTCAGGTTACTTTTTGCTCCTATTTGCGTTGAAAGGCTATTTGATTTTGGGTATCTCTTTCTTCTTGCTCTGGTTCATGCGCTGGCGCATGTCTAGTGGTCTTTTTCACTCCGGTTCCTCTCTCCGGCGTTGACTTGAAGAGAGACGTGCAACCCAGTGAGTTGCAACCCAGTGAGCTTGCATCGTCATTCTTGGGCTTATTTCAATAGGGTTTGTTTGCTGCATTACCTGTTCAGCTATGTCGGCAGTCTTCTGCTACTGTTGTTGCCTTTAAATTTCTGAGGAAAACCTATTTTTTTCCATTTGTTGGTGGACAATTGTCTTTTAGGTAATTTTCGGTGATTTTCTAGTGATTCCCTTATTGGCATTAGGGTTTGGTAACTTGGATAGCAGAATAGCAAGAGGCCAGCAGCACAGCAGCACAATATAAATTCACAAATTCAGAATGTACCCGGCAAGGCGACAGCAAAGGTGCAGCACAAAAAACACCACAAAAGTCAGAGAGCCGACGCAACACACTGGGTTGCACTGTATTGGCAGAATAGACGCCGGAAACTGAGAGACAGTGACCGAGATGGCCGGACGGGCCCTCACGCACGGGCGCGTGAAGAAGGACAGAAACTTGGAGTGGCACGTTGAGCCCACTCGCGTTGATTCCGGTGACCGGATTTGGAGGGAGAGCCGATCAGCAGCCTATCCTTCTTCCTTAGGTGGCGGTCAGACAGAAAGACCAGCCTATGTGGGTGACCTAGACTGGCAGTCACCAAAGAATACCCTCTGCCTGTAGTTTCAACGCAAAAAAGAGCAGAGAAAGAAAAAAAAAATAACGAGCCCAGGGGGCTCTGATACCATGTAGAAGAATTTGGAAAATTATATTTGTATTTTTTTCATCAATAGGGTCACATATATATACATATACAATAGGGTCACATATATATACATATACAGGATACTATAAACCTAATAGGAATCTAACTCCTAACAGAACTCTATTTACAACTAGTCCTTAACACACCTTATATAGTATGTAATATAATTTCTTAATTATAGAATTTAGATTCAAAGAGGAAATTAATATAACCAATTAAAATTAAATTACCATTAAAAACTGGGGCGTTTTGGTAATCTCAGTGTTCCCTCTCCTCATTCATATTTTTAGACATAACTATAAATAACTAGACAATCATTCATCAATTGGTCAAATATTTTGTTACATAATCAATTCCTAACAATCTTCATCTAGGAAAATGCCTTTTTCATAAAAAGAGTAGTGGAGTGTGCAAATGCAATGATATGCCTTCTAAAAAGGCTGCTATCCTCGAGGAACCTTTATTATTATTATTTTTTTTCAGATCTTTCAAATGATGCATATTCTTCACAGGCACAAACAGTATTGCTACTTTTCTCTTGGATATTTTTAGGCATTTATCACATAAATTTTGTATTTCAGCCGAACCTTTAATAGAACTTCAGAAGAACTTGACAAGAACCAGATAAATTATTGAACTGTGAGTGTATGCTGGTCTATGCGTTGCAGGTGATACCCTTGCATCATTGAGAGTAGAACTCAAAAGCCAGAAAAAGCAAGTTCGAAACTTAAGGAAAAGGTCACTATGGTCCAGAAGCTTGGAAGAGGTAGCTGCAAAGCACTGTATTTAACTTTTTTCTTTTTTTTTTGGACCTCAAATTGATGAAAATCATTTTCTGATTTTCAAAATTTTTGATTCTTCCTTCTAAAAATTTTCAAAACGTCCTTTGCTTTCTGCATGTGAGCATTTTTGTTGCTGTAAGTTTCTTCTACAATGCTACTTGTCACTGCTTTTCTTACTTTAGAATATATTATTGGTTGCCTGTGAAGTTACTTCTAAGAAATATGAATTTATCAATAGTCAGGAATTCTAGATAAGCTGCTTGTTTGTTTGGATTTTAGGTGATGGAGAAGCTTGTAGATATTGTCCACTTTTTACTTTTGGAGATTCACAACATCTTTGGAACTGTTGGTATGTATTTGCTTGAGGTCTTAAAACCTGGATGAAAAGGTAAAAACATTTTTTTAAAGGGGGGGGGGGGGGGGGGGGGGGAACGGGGGAGGGAAACGCTTTGTTGCAATCCGACTTAGTGGGGAACGGGGGAGGGAAACGCTTGTCAATCCGACTTAGTCTGGTTGAAAAATGGGTGATGGTTGACAACGAGGTACAATTTTCTAATCCGTATTATATATAAAGAAGTACTGAAGGTGGGGAAGACTTTGACAGGGCAACATACAATTAAGTTTTACATTATGACAAAAGATGACTCTTTAATATTTTGTATTTAGTGAATTAACCTGCATAATATCTTGAAATCCTTATGCATTGTGATTGTAGTGCTTTAGTTGCCTCGTTACAGTAGCTTGACTTCATATTATGATATAGAACAAAACTTCTAGTCAATTGGGTTACATTCTTCTGACATTAGGTGGGGTGAACTGAAATTTATTTCTAGGCGCCTAATGTGAAAAAGAAAAAAAAAAAAGCCCAAAGTTTTCCATATAAATTAGTTTCAGTTGTATTCAAAGAGTCAAAATTGAACAAAAATAAAATTATTTTAACAGTAATTAAAATAAAAATATTTTTTTATTCTTTCTCTTCCCCATTCTTTTACCTCCTTTCTCCTTCATATGAATGCATAAAAAAGAAATATACTTTATAAGTTTTATCACGTAAAAAATAATTTTTAATGTTTGATACAAAGATAAACATTGTATTAAATTTAGGTTTAGAAAGAGAGAAAGAGAGACGGTAAGGAGGTGAGAATTGAACAAAGAAGAAAATATTTTTCTTTAACTTTGACTTGTTGGATACAATTGAAACTAATTTTTTAAGTTTAGGCTAGATTTGAAATTAGCATAGATATTTGGGTCTTTTTGTCATTAAGCTATTTTTCCCAAATATTTTTTTGTTGCAAACATTAGCATTCACCTTACTTTCCTTTTCTTATGTTGAAAGGAAAATTTTGCTAAGAAAAGATACTTCCATAAATGTGTCGTTGGTTTTCACTATTTAAAACATATACTTCCATAAATGTTCCTTCTGACTTGTGAATTTTGGCAAACTTATTATCACAAAAGAAAAGTACATAAACACCACCCATCAAATAACTGATCATTGATAGTCACCATTGTTGGTCACAAAAAACCAACATCAATCATTGTCAACCACAATGGTCGTCGGTGCGCCTGTAAATGAACCAAGCGGCTCATGAACTGAAAAAACATGGAGACTTTAGGAGGGGTTCAAATCTTGTGGAGTGAAAAATAAACTACAAGGAAGAAGAATGGTCTTCTATGAATACGTGCTTTCAGTTCTTGACCTCTAAGGTGTTTCTTTGCAACTTGATGTTCATTGACTAAAATAGTTCTATTAATACTTAAATTTATAACCTGCAGATAGTGATGTATCAATCAAAGCATCTATGAACAATCACCAGAGATTGGGACCTGCTGGACTTTCTTTGCATTATGCAAATGTAGTTATGCAAATTGATTCTCTTGTGAGTGTGCCTTATCTTTTAACTGTTACTATATCTCATTCTGCATTTTCACCTATTTCATTTTCATAATCCTGCATTGTGGTACATGGTGTTGGCTGTATTGATACATAATCTGACATTTACGTAGAGGATTTATAAGTTCCTCTTGTATCAATTTAAGAGCAATCCATATGGGTGGACAAGAAAAACTGCGAGAAAGAGAGGAACTATTTTGCACCAATAAGTTTCTGCCGTGCAAGCATAAACAAGTTCTATTGTTTTCGAACTTAAATAATCACCTATGTTTCCTATGATGGAAAGAATAAAGATGAATTAGTGTTTTGATGTAGTTACAAAGAGATAACTCACAAAACTTAAATGCACTTGTCTATGGCAAAAACAACACATGGATGTTATGGCTGGCCACCAATATTCTTTACTATTTCACAATAGAATGGCCCCTGCCTAAGTCTCTTAATGAAGATAACATTGTTGGCTCTAACCAGACATAAAGAATTATGCTAGAATAGTAAGCCCTAAATCTATCAATTTTCTGGTATAGCCTATGGCCAAGGAGTGTTGGTGTAAGCACTGCAACTGGAGATGAGAGCGAAAACATGCAATGTCCAAATCAAATATTTTTTGTTTCCAGTACAGTAACCTCTTGCATTATATAATTCTTTGTTACAAACAATTACTTGAAATTATGTTAGCTGGTCATCTATTTGCTCCATGTTAACTACAAGGTATGATAAATTTTTATTATGTATGAGGGCTTGTATCCATTTAGAACTCTCATCATGGAGTCAGCAAGAGACCATAAAAAGATTTTCAGTGGCAGAGTTAATGGTGCACAAGGTTCTTTGATTCACCAGTTGCAATTTGCCTTGCCATGTTTATATATTTTTTTGCTCGTAGCAAGGCTCTCTATACACACGTTCTCTGACATTTCTGAACAAAGGATTCTATTGAAACATTGTTATTAGGCGTGCCTTACTTAAAGCTCAAGGGCTTATGCCTCAATTGTCTTCAGGCAGGCAAACTCACTTGGGCGATAGCCTCTAGATAGAGCACACGCCTTTAGCGCAAGAATGGCACACCTTTTTCTTAAACAAGCCACCTAGGTTTTTCTTTCAATAGAAAGCTGTCCAATTAGCATATGTTTATATAAAATAAATAAATAAAAGGAATAGAATGCAATACAAAACCAATGTGCTTTGCGATCCAGCCTAGGGATAGCAATGGATTGAATTTTTTCAGGTACGTAACCCAAACCAACCACAGGTATTACAGGTTTGGTATTGATATATGGGGTTTGGGTTTAGGGACTTGGGTGCTTGTAACCACATAACCCATTAATTTTAATGAACATACCCATGATATATGGGGTTTGGGTTTAGGGACTTGGGTGCTTGTAACCACATAACCCATTAATTTTAATGAACATACCCATGATATATGGGGTTTGGGTTTAGGGACTTGGGTGCTTGTAACCACATAACCCATTAATTTTAATGAACATACCCATGATATATGGGGTTTGGGTTTAGGGACTTGGGTGCTTGTAACCACATAACCCATTAATTTTAATGAACATACCCATGATATATGGGGTTTGGGTTTAGGGACTTGGGTGCTTGTAACCACATAACCCATTAATTTTAATGAACATACCCATGAATAATATTTCTAAATTAAGTAATTTTTTAATTCCTTATATATAATAGTTTAGGTAAATTTCATGTAGTTAATCATGTAATTCAAAATATAATAATTAGTTATTAATTATATATTGACTTTTTTTTTTGAAAAAAATTAAATATATTGACTTACACAAAATAAGAATTTTTATTTACATAAAAATATATGATTCATTTTGTCAAAAAAAATATGATTTATATTTTATACCTATAAATATACATGTGTATGCATATATTAGATCTATTAGAAATAAGTGTACTAGTAATTATCACTAGTATTAATAACTAGTATTCTAATGGTATTATAATCATAGAGTTTCTAATTGTAAATAGTATTATAATCATACTGAATAATTTAAATAGACTAATATTCTAATGATATTATTATAATTATAGCCTTTTCAATTAATTAGTATTTCCTATGAGCATTATAATTACGTATAGTATTAAAATATCTCATAGTATAATGCCTAATAATTTGATAATTATGCCTACTATAATACCTAATTCTAATAGTATTAATTATAACCTTTCTAATTATACTTAATATTATAATTATAGCTTGTTTAATAACTAGTACTATTCCTAATAATGGCATTTTTTTATACTAAACAGGTATGTATACGGGTTTGGGTTATGTATGGTAATGTTGAATGGCATGGGTAATGCTGGGTATTGCAAGTGTTTAAATAGGCTTTGGTATCTTATATTTAAATGGGTATGGAAACAGGTAGGATAATTTTCAAAGGGTACCCAACTCATTGCCATTCCTAATCCAGCCTCCACTCCTGCATCTAGTACTCATTTCTATCTCCAATACCTTAAAATATAAATTGTTATGTTGCTATTTTCTTTTTCCTGATTTATGTGTGTTTTTCATGTTTTTCTGATTTTATTCTTTTTTTTCCTGATATCTTTAAATATAATTTTCTGATACATGTGTTATAATTTTCTTTTTCCATTTTTGCGCCTCACCTTGCTCTGATGTGCTTTCGCCCGGAGGCTATTGCTTAGGCCCCAACAGCCCTTTGAGCATTAGTGCGCCTTTTGCCTTAATCACTATGTAACACTTCCATTCTCTCAGGCGGCTCGATCAAGTTCTATGCTTCCAAATACAAGGGATTCATTGTACCAGAACTTGCCACCCAGTATAAAATCTGCTCTACGTTCCAAAATACAATCTTTTCAGGTTAAGGAGGAGGTATATATAGTTTGATAATAAATCTTTATTAATAATATAGTTTGATATATTTTATATATATATATATATATATTATATATATATAGGTATACACTATTGAAAGGAGCCAATATATTTTATATATAGGTATACATATTGAAAGAGCAATATATTTCCATCCAAGAAGTAAGAAAAAGAGAATTTAAGTTGCTATTGCCTCCTTCATTTCATGCAAGGCATTCTTTAATGAGTCTCAGCTATCTATATTTCATCTTTTATTACTTTGGTTGTTTTTTCTTCTGCAGCTCACAATTACAGAAATCAAAGATGAGATGGAAAAGACTTTGCAGTGGCTTGTCCCTATGTCCACGAATACAGCTAAGTAAGAAACATAAATTATTTTCTCTGCCTATATTCTTAATTTTGTTGCTTTTGTCTCTGCTTAATCAGGATTTTTATTGTTTTTTTATTGCAACTGGTTTGAAACAGAGCACATCATGGTTTTGGTTGGGTTGGGGAATGGGCAAATACTGGGTAAGTAAATTCCATATTTTTATTTTACCTACCAATTTTCTGAAAAAATCTCATTTTTGTTTAGATATTAAAAAATAAATTTTTGGCAAGTGGGAGGATGTCGGTGTGAGAGAAAATATGGGTTTTGTACATTACAGGTCTGAGGTTAATCGGAAACCTGCTGCTGGGCCAGGTGATATAATTCGGATTGAAACACTCCACCATGCAGACAAGGAGACAACAGAAGCCCATATTCTAGAACTTGTACTGTGGCTGAACCATCTGATCAACAAATCCAATTTTGGTGCTGGTGGTGATGGCAAGAAGTTGCCTATCAAGTCTACAATTTGCATGCCGCTTGAAAAGTTGAATGAGCAACCAAAGCATGAGTCACCAAATGTTCCTTCATTAACTATTGAAGACCACTTAATGTTAAAGGTTGTAAGTAAGAAAAAACGGACACGAGGAATTAGTAAGAGTCAGGACTTCGAGTCTGGGAAGACAGGGTTGAGAAAACATGATAGACTTAGTAAGAGCAGCAACTATTTCCCTAAAAATGAAAGCAAGGACCCCGTCATCGTTAAATGGCCTCCTTCTGTAGTACCAATTGTTGGGTTTGGTATTGACAAGGAGAAAGCTTTGGATGTGATTGACAGAGTTGAAGTGGTTAGATAAATTGCAGTGTGTGAAGGAGATGTATACATAATATTGCTGCACTATCAAATGTCACACTGCACCACACAGTATCATTTTGAACGGCCCAGATCTTATGATCCACAATGCAAAGGGTAGTGTTAGTTCTACTTCATACATCTGCTTGATTGTGAAACAATTGTCTACAGAAAAATAGATGCTGTTTGTTTGCTGGTTTATCTCTGACTGTCTGCTTTCTATAGCTTAGATTGGTTTGTAGAGAGTGCTACGATATCCATACAATATTTTATTTACTAAAGTCTATTTACGTATAAAACCTTGAGTTTTTCAAAAGAGATGTCATCAATTTAAAATTTTTATCTTTTTTTCTATTTTGCTATTTGAAAGTAAAAATCTGCAATTCAAAGTTTGGTTCGTGTCAATAGATCATGTGGACAGGAACTTGCTTCCCTTAGCTGTGCAAACAAGTCGCACATGAATTTCATACATTTGGTTAATCTTATATTTTCTATTGTTGGATAATCACGAAGGTTGGGCTTTTTCATGACTGATGACTTGGTTATATATAAAGCCATTACCATTAACAAATGGAATTTTGCAATTGATATAGACTTACGATGTTCAACAAAATAATTGTTGGTGATGTCAATTAGGTATTGTCTAATTGATCTTTTTAATAATGTAAGAGTAGAAGGTTTGAGTTCGAATCCTCTCGATCATAAGAATTTTCACATATTTGATGAGTTAATAAGTTAAGAGGAGAATTACCTTACGAATATGATGTATAAGAGAAACATGTCTATTACAATAGCGTTTACCTTGTTTATACAAATTTCTTGAGTGCATGTTAAGTAAAGATTTTAGAATATTCACAATCTGAGCTATATGTACAAAATGGATGCAATATGTTCAACTCGGGCTTTTTATTGTCAAGGCCCAAGAGGCCTTTCTGAAAGTTGGTTGACTGCTCCTGGTCCACAATTGGGCCTAGATCTAGGCTTGAGTCTGGACCGATGTTAACAATGCCCCTGCACATGGGCGTTTTTGGTTGCTCTCTATAAAAGAACCATTTAGTACTCTTTTTAGATCAGTAAATACATCTGAAAATTTGATTTCTAACTTTTTGCAAATGAATTATTTTCTGTATTTACAATTTGAACAACCTGATAATCTACATATGACAATTATAACTTTTTTTCCTAACTACATTGTATTCTCCCCCAATATTGGAAAAACTGATTTATCAAAATGACAATTGACAAATATAGTTATAAGTTTTAAATATTTAATTATAGATGAAACTTTATATCCGGCATATATTCTTAACCTCGTTTGAGTATTCACTGTGCTTTATAGTGGAGCATTTGGAACATATACCTTTACACCAAAAAGAATTATTAAGAGGAAAATTTATGATAATTTGTTGGCCTAATATAAATAAGTGATATTGCATGTATAATAGCATGTCTTCAAATTGGTACCTCGCAATAAATTGCAATAAATGATCTTACCATACCATTCTTTGTGAAACATGAGTAACAGGATGCTCAACGACTATTCCACTTGACATGCAATAATTATTAAAGGCATAATCTGAAAAATATGCTCTTAATCGAATTATTTGAGCAAACAATCTCGTAAATGCCAAAATTTGAGTCAATAACATGTTATGATCATCTTGTAGATACATTTATCAAAACCATAAAATATCTAAATTGTCCATATGGTTGATGAGTTGGCCTATAACTATCTCTTTGTATATGTTCTAGAAATGTAAAAGATTCAACTTGAACTTTGCTTGGAGATGACCTAATAATCAATTCATTACATTGAATTATGTTTTGGTTCATCAAATGTCTATAAGAGGATTCATAATTTTTCGTGTCACTGTTGATCTAGGATGAACCTATGGATCATACCAAACTATAAAAGCATTTGAATTTGTAAAATTCTCATTTATAATCATATTAATTTCAATTGTGTGAATATGCATGTAATGCAAGACAAATGATAAAACATGCAATTCCTTTAATTTGCATTATTATCCGATACAATATGTATACCAAATATCAAACCAAGAATTATTAACATATAATTATATTCCTTAGTAGAAATGAGTTTTGGAGCTATGTAAGAAAATCAGTGCAATCAATCATATGAAAAATTTCCTTAAAAAATAATTTTTTATTTTATTTTTTATCAACCGAGTGATAAGCAAATTCTTTTCAATCAAGGTTATTTGATTAGATTTTTTTGCTGAAAATTAAATAGACAATTTTACTCAATAAATCTAAATAGTCATTTATTTCTTAAAATTTTGTAACTTTTCAGTCTTTTCACTTATTTTTAAAAATAAATCTAAAAAGTTAAATAAACTTTTTTTCCAGAATCAAATAAATAAAAATAAGAAAAAATGCAAAAGAAGAGAGAAATGTACAATCACAAGTGAATAGAGTGAAAGAAAAAATGATATAAAATAGTTCATTTTGATGTCAGTAAGAAATTCTGGCCAAATACACCAAATTATAAAATGATTTTATTAGTTTAGACACTTGTAATTAAATTAATAAAAAATAAAGTTTGAGAAACTGAGAGGGTTAAATGTACAAAGTTCAGATACTAATTGATCCTCCAGAATAGAAACATCACCCTCCTATTTCTATCTAATAGGAGAGAATGGTATCAACATTTCTCTGTTGTAACTGTGCCTAGTCAAACTTGGGAATAACACGCTATTTTTGACATAAAAATAAAATTTCTTCCAAACATGTGCAAAAGAAAAACCTCTTGCATACGTTTACACTAAAGGTTAAAAATGCAGTAAGAACTTAAGCAGTTGGATTCCCAATCTTCACCCATTTGTCACTACCAAAAGTTCCATCATCTTAAAGATTCCAAGCACTCGAGATTTAAGAGTCCCCAAAAAGGATCAACCGATATCAATCATCTTCTTTTGGAGAATGATCAAAGTCTGCAGAAACAGTTTTCAGCCGGATAAGCACAGCATTCCCCATTTTGTACTACAAAAAGTTCTCTCATTTTAAGATTTTGAGAGCTTGTTTATGTGTCCCCACAAGGATCACTGATGATCAATCGTCTTCTTTTGGAGAATGACCTGACAAATCTACAGAAACAGTTCTTAGCTGGATAAGCTCTGCAATCACCTTTGGCGGCTGTTTCATTAATCTTTCCTGCTCAGACGGTTTCTTGAGCAGTTCTAGTTGTTCTAAATATTCATGCAACGTTTAATGCAAACAGGTCAAGGTTCACAACTATTCATTGAAATGAATGAATCACCACGTAAAGATACAACCGTGTATGCCAATGAATTATTTATGAAGAATATATATATATTTATAGTGATTTCTTCACATGCTTGATTTATAATTGATAGATTGGATCAGGAAGTGCATGAATGAGCAGACTAACGACAATATTTGATGATTAACAACAGACAAGTTTTTGGCTAAAGGAAGACATTCAAGACCATAATAGATGGGTCGATGAGTCGGGATACAAGTGGTTCAGCCAAATGACTAACCTAAGTTTTTTAACTCTAGAAAACTATGGAAAGTTACCAAGCCCATTGGTTGTTTTCTCCTTAAATTCTCAATTCCTCTTCCATTAGTTTTTGATTTCATTTTGAAATCTCCATGTTTTTCTTAATAGGTTTTTGTAGTATTTAATTCTCTCATGTTGACTTCCTAATTCAGTTCTCTGGTTAATAATTTTTTCGACTTAAATTAAATAATCTTTTGTATATTAGTTTTCAATTTAATCATCAAAGCAACTTAGAATTTCTTTTTTCATTCTTTGCAGAAAAAGAAAAACAGAAAAATGAAGATCAATAAACATACAAACAATCCTTCTTATTCAAGCAGATTTCAGCAACTATTTTTCTTCGATATTGTGGTTTTCAATTGGTTTTCTTTTTGATTAATTAAAACCTCATGATTACAGTACTGTTTTTTTCTCGCTGATTAATTAACTGTGAAATCTCTCTCAATTAGTTTTCAAGTTTATTTTCAATTCAAATCTTTTGTTTACAATTTTTTTTTTTTCTTTTTGATTAATTCACTTTGTGTTTTGGTGCTTCTTTTGCAATTATTCTTAAGAGTATCTTGGTGTGCAAATATATTTTTGACATATTCCCACAACTTGTTAGCTTTGATGATTCTACTTCTACTAGTTTTTCAAATTGAGAAACAGGAAAGAGAGTTTCAAGGAGAAGAGGGCAAAAATGGAAAATTTGGCAGAAGGGCCACCATTTATTATTTTTAATTATAAACTTTAACCCTAATTTGCTTTCAGGGTGTAATTGCTACCAAAGTTACTAATTGAGGTATAGATGATACAAATGTCAATTTCGTGTGAAATTGGAACAGCTTTTCAAGATAAAATGAAATGCTAAATCTCTCAAATGTTTAAATTTATATTTTCTGCAAGGTGACTGCCCAAAGATTATTAATGCATTATTTAGCTTGTCACCCTTTTCTATAAATGATTTACTTACAAAGTAATAGAAGGGTAAGAGAGTAAAGCAATTGAGTTCCAATGGGTCAATTCCTTTCAAAATCAATGAGTGCATAATCTCTAGGGGATTGATGTAATTTTCATTCTTTGCCTTGTTTCTCTTTTGCTTGGCCTGATAGACAATTATACCCAAACTTTGGTGCCTTTTGCAATTGTATCTAATCTTTTGTTTTTGGATAACCATTCTTAATTATTAAAAAAAAGGAAATAATACCAACAACTAAGCCTATTAGCTAAACATTTTTTTTTTTTAAAAAAAAAAAAAAAGGAGAAAGGAGGTTAAAAATTATTTTTAATTTGAATTAATAACAAAATATTATTGAAGTATTATACTACTTTTTTTTAAAAAATAACTTGTATGTAAGTTATAGTTGCAACTAAATTTTCAATTAGAGTAGAATTGTCAAAAAATAAAAATATGGTACAACAACAAAAAACTCTCAAAGTTTGGGATATATGTGCCTATTAGCTAAGCCCTTTTGATTTTCATAGGTTGAAGAGAATTTGTGAGCATATTATGCAAATGTTTCTAGAATTAACCACATGCTACTTACACCATGAAAGGATATTCTCTCCTCCATCCCTTTTCGTTAGCAAAATCAATGCGCTTCTGTAATCTGACCAGTTCTTTCTCAATCCACTGCAACAAAATCTTCCAAATAATGAAAAGGGAAAGAGAGAAGAAAAGTAATATAATAGCTTGTCTACCAAATGCAACAACAGCTGAAAACGATATCTTAAGGCTGAAAAAAACAAATAAGTAAATAGTGCAACATGGAAAGCCTTGTGCATTGAGACACTGCTCTTTATATGGGGACCAATCATAAAGTTTTCCTCAACAAAGTCATAATATTTGGAAAATAAGTTTTTTTCACACTATTCACATTCGAAAACAATGCAAAAAACTCACTCTCATGGCTGGGCCCTCACTCCCAATATGCAAATCTCTGATACCAACATATTGATGCATTAAAGCACTAGCTAGCAGACAAATAAATTTTAAACAGATAATAGATATTCAAAAAAATACAAAAGAAAAAGACCGAGTAACTTGCTGAACAAGGCTAGGACTTTTATATGTTTTATATGTCTAATTTACATTTAATGCCATCTTTCATTTCCCAACCAAAGGAAAAGAAAACTTATCCCACTGCCACTTTAAAAAAAAAAAAAAAAAAAAAAATGCTCTTTAATATGGGTGACCATCATTTGAGTAAGTTTTTCCCTCACAAAGTCAATACATAATTTGCGGAAAAATAGAGGTATCTTTTCTCAATCACGTAGTTTCAACATTCGAAAAGAAAACACAAATGGGTGCAAGTAAAAAACTCACTCTAACTAGTGAAGTGGGCCTCGTTAATCACTGCCAATATGCAAATGTCATCGTGATACCAACGTGGCCTTAAGGGAACAGTCAGCTGTGGAATGCCCATCTCAAAGCACTAGCTAGCAGACATAAACTTTTAAACAGAGTAATAGATTATTCAAAAAAAAATTACAAAAGAAAAAGACCGAGTACTTGCTGAAGCAAAGGCTAGACTGTTTTATATGTTTTATACTGTCTAAATTTAAACATTTAATGCCATCTTGTCATTTCCGCAAACCAAAGGGAAAAGAAAAACTATATCCGCACTGCCACTTGCTTAAGAAAAAAAACAAAAAATAAAAAAAAGGTAGGCCTATTGGAAAAAAGTGGATAACCAGCACCGCTATATGTTGTGATTAAGATCCTTAGTTATAACATAAATCGAAAGAACAACCTTTTTCGCAAGTGTCATCTCACTGTTGGCAAATTGTTACAAATGTATGCCTAAACTATTAGAATCCATGGGTCACCTAAGACAACACCACTATATACTTGGGCGTCCCTCACAGGCCTTCCTCCTAACCTGCAAAATTAGTATGTTCTTTAATATTCGTTGCTTTCTTATAGTTTCTTGTTGACGTTTTTTAATAACTTTCATTTTTGAATTGAATTTGTAGTTGAGGAGGAGTAGCTAAATCTAAAATAGAATTCTAGAATTGAATATAAATACCTTAAATACCTGTTATTTTTTCAATAAAATTTGTGAGTGATGGGAAATCCCAACTATAAGAAACTTTAATTTGATTAAGGCTTATGATGCCTAAGTTTTTTCTGTATCGTCTGAATGTCTTACGTCTTTCTGTTTGTTATCTCGTATTTCTGGGACATTTGGGTACTGGTGAACAACCACTCTCTTAAAATACCGAATTCTTTCTAGATTCTATCGTAGAAATTTGGTATCGGGCCCTTGAAGTGAAAATTTGAACAAGATTGTTTGCGCTCGGTACTTAATCTTTTAATATTGCTAGCTTATTTGTTGTGATAACAGAGACTTCCCCTAATATACAGTTTTTCTCATGTTTAAATGAACTCTAAAAAATAAAAAATAAAAAGAAATGCCTATAAACCAAATTTTGTAAGCATATTGTCTTCAGTGTGTCCAATGTTGAAAGGATTGCTTCGATTAGATTTGAATTCAGTAATGAAGCTCATCATTGTTCGTGAGCTAGAGTAAAGAGCACTATGATGGAATTCAAAGATTAACAAAGCTGAAGTTGGTAGGCTTTTACAGGGGACAATATTGAATAGAGTTAGTCTTTAAGCTATAGAAAAGTAATAATTTGTGTGTTGTTATGTTCACTTGGGCCTCGACTACAAACCAAGGATCTTGGTCACGTGGCCTGCTAACCAATAAAATCTGAATTAAAAGGATCAAACTTTTTGTTTTACCGGACGACCTTCTTTTCTCTCGACGTAATTGTTGCTAATACAGTCTATTGCAAGCCTCCATTAAAAGGGGGCTCTAGCCTTAGACTCGATAGAGAGATCTATATTCTCAATTTTTAGTTGAAATTAATTCTGCGTTAGTGTGTCATTTTCATGAAGTGAAAAGCCTCAATATTTTATTAGGGAGTAGCAGAGTATTACTAAGTAATATCTACACTGGAGGATTTTTTGGAGTGAGCCTTGGCGAGCATCATATACTACTCTGAGTATAATAGAAATAGGAAATATCTTAAGTTAAATTGGGCATAGATCTAATAATATTGAGGACCTCTTGTGGCCATCGGTTATATTTCCAGGTTCCGGGGCATGTGGTATTTTTTTTCCAGGTTCGCGGGACTGTGTCACAAGCTTTGATGGATGTTTTTTTTTTTGTGAAGTTGGAGATAACGAAATGCGTTGGAAATGCGCACACATACAACATAATTCATTTTAATGGAATGAAGGATTGACGCAATCTCTTGGGTATTTGGCATGACAGCCTTAAGGAGATTAGGTTTTCTATAGGCCCCTTATGACACAAATAGAGGATATTGGCTTTATTAAGGGCACTTTGGAACCTTTGAGGCATCGATTACCTACCACGATGTGGACAAAGATTTTCCGCGTGGGTTCCCACACGTTTTTACGCATTATATGGACCAATCACCAAAAGGAATAGGGACAGTTTGCCGGTAACAAGGTGGACAGATGAGTTAAATGCTCGCCTGGTTGTAGCCATCTTTTGTGCCGTTTGATGGGACTCGGAACGGGAATGATATATGTATATGATCGGAACGAGACTTAACGGAACACGCATTAGGACAACGAGGAAGCATATAATTCCTAATCAAAAGAACAGGTAAACAACTAGTAAGGTAGAGCAAGGATTGACCGCTGACTGGCTAGTCCTACCAGTTACAGTGGGATCAGCGCTACTGATGGCATATCTTCGACTTCAAGAATTTTTGAAACAGAGAGGAAGAAGAATTACTTTGAAAATTCATTTTTTTTTAATGCATGGGAGAAAAAAAAGATTCTCTTCAATCGTGCAAATGATAAAACAAATTTGGAAGAATGGATTCAATAGTAATATTTCAATTAGGAGCAGTCAAATTTTCTATATAATAGCCATTTCTTCTTAAGAAGAATAAACTTGTTAAAATCCGTTGCTAGGGTCAACTTGCCCAACAGCGGGACGAGTGGGGATCTAAGGGAAAAAAAAAAAAAAAAAAAAAAGGTAGCCTATTGGAAAAAAGAAACCAGCCCGCTACAGTGGAAAATTAAAAAATAACAGAAAAGAACAACCTTTTCGCAGTGTCATCTCACTGTTGCAAATTGTTACAATGTTGCTAAACTATTAGATCCATGGTCACTAGCCACACTAATACTGCGCCCTCAAGCTTCTCCTACCTTCAAAACTTAGTATGTCAAATATCTTGCTTTCTTATATTTTCTTTTGGGAGTTTAATACTTTCTTTGTTAATTTCTTAGTTAGGAGTAGTATTAACTAGATCTCTAGAATCTATAAATACCTAAATAACCTGTTATTTTTCAAAATTTTGATGATGGAATAATAAGAAATTAATTTGAAAGGCTTAGTGCCTAATTTTTCTTCTCTATGTTTAGTCTTTCTGTTGTTTCTCCTACTACATGGGTACTGGTAACAACCATTTAAATACCAATTTCTTTCTAGATTCTACGTAAACTGGTATCGAAGTGAATTTGAACAAGATTTTGCGCTGGTCTTTTCTTTAAATTGCTGCTTATTTTGTGATAACAGAGACTTCCCCTCTTCAGTTTTCCCATGTTAAAATGAACCAAAAAAAAAAAAAAAGAAATGCTTAAAACAAATTTGAGCAATGTCTTCATTGTCATTTGAAGGATTGCTTGAAGATTTGAATTTAAGGAAGCTCATCATTGTTCGTACTAGATAAAGAGCACTATGTGGATTCAAAGATTACAAGCTGAAGTTGGTGCTTACAGGGGACAAATTGAATGAGTTGCTTTACTAAGAGAAGTATATGTTGGTTGTTATGTTCACGCAACCAGGATCTTGTCACTGGCCTGCTAACAATAAAATCTGATTCAAAAGGTCAAACTTTTGTTTTACCACGATTCTTTCCTCGACGTATTGTTGCTAACAATTGCAAGCTCATTAAAAGGGGGCTCTAGCCTTAGACTCGATAGAGAGATCTATATCTCAATTTAGTTGAAAATAATTCTGCTTATTTCATTTCATGATTAAAGCCTCAAATTTATAGAGTACAAGTACTTACTAAAGTAATTCTACTAGAATAAGATCTTCTACCATAAATAAAATAGGAAACTAGTAAATGGCAAGACTAATAAATAGAAAGACAACTAAATAGGAAAATTATTAAATAGGAAATCTCCTACCAAAAAGAGAAATATGAAACTACTAACTAAGAAGACAACTAAATAGTTGATCTCCCACCAAAAGTAAAATGGGAAACTCCTAAATAGGAAGACTAAACTGCAACTTGCCGTAATTGCATCTCTAACGTTACTCCCCTCCCGGAGGAAGAGCTGGTCCTCAAGCTTGAGAACTGCTCCCAAGTTGAGTATGTTGCTGGCCCATAAATGCGTGGGAATCTGCATCCAAATCTAATATTTCTATCCAAAATAATTTTTTACACTAATGACCAATTGAATATGGTTCGTCACAAATATAGCACAACACTTTGGTCCGTCTTTCAGCCATTTCGACCCGGTTTAGTCGCTTCACAAAAGGAGTGGAAACACTACCAATGTTGTCCTTGTTGTCAATGCTTCTCCAATGTTATTGGTAGAATGAGCTATTGAAGGTGAGAATCTTTGGCTTGCAAATATTGAAGCACCCATTCTTGTATTTCCAACTTGCTCCAATTGTTGTTTCCTTTCAAAAGCTCTCGCCAGTTCATCGCAATAACCAAATTAGGTGGATTATGCATTTCGATATCCGACCTTATGGTTTCCGATAATCTGGCGTAAAAAGATTGACTTGTTGGTCATCCTTGACTGTTGTAGCCCTTGCTAAGAGCACCAGGAATTGCCTTTGGTACTCCACAAAACTTGTTTGTTTTAAATTGACTAATTCACCTAAAGGATTACCCTTCATGGGTGGACCAACACAAAGATTGCAATAGTGTTTGAAAACATCCCACGAGATTCCATGTTCTTCTTGCTCCAATCTATAATACCATAGTTGTGCTTCCCCAACCATATGGAATTCTGCTAGCCCACCTTATCAACCTCTTGCATTTTTTGATTAAGAAAAAATTGTTCACACCAGTGAAGCCAGCTTAATGCATCATCAAACCGATTATATGTAGGGAAATCCAATTTGGTGTATTGCGGAATTGTCACAGTAGCAGCACACGCCTCGAACCCTTCCGCAACTCCACCATTTTTGTTTTGTAGAGTTGACTTGCTACTTGTCACCTCGATTCCCTTATTTCAATTTCTGGTTGATCCGCTAAGAAGTTCCTGCACTTGCCGAGTTAGATTCTACAGCGGGGTTTCATGTCGAGATTCAACTTGGAGCATTCGAGCTTCATTATGTGCCTATAGTTCTTGTAAAAGAGCTTTGATCTCACTGGTTGAATCTCCTATGACGTTTGGCTCTGATATCAAGTTGTTATGTTCACTCAACCAGGATCTCGTCACAAGCCTGTTAATATAAAATATGATTCAAAAGGTAAAACTTTTGTTTTACCACGAATCTTTCCTCGACCTATTGTTGCTAAAAATTGCAAGATCATTAAAAAGGAGCTCTAAACTTAGACTCATTAGAGAGTCTAGATCTCAATTTAGTTGAAAATAATTTTGCTTATTTTATTTCATGATTAAAGCCTCCAATTTATAGAGGAGTACAAGTACTTATTAAAATAATTCTACTAGAATGAGATCTCCTACTATAAATAAAATAGGAAACTACTAAATGGTAAGACTAGTAAATAGAAAGACAACTCAATAGGAAATTTATTAAATAGGAGATCTCCTACCAAAAAGAGAAATAGGAAACTACTAACTAAGAAGACTACTAAATAGTTGATCTCCTACCAAAAATAAAATGGAAAGCTACTACATGGGAAGACTAAACTGCAACCTGCCGTAATTGCATCTCTAACATTGTTCTTAAAAGAGCTCCCCTTATTATCTAAATTTTTAACCTTTAAAAATGATTAATTTCACTCATTGTTCTTCAAATTATTGTTAGTTCACTTTATAGGTCCTCGGTTTCAATTTTGTAACAAAAAAAAAAAATTTATGGGCCCATTCATCTCTTCTACCATTTCATGTCTTGATATATTTATTACCATAAGGCTGCTAGGGCTGCCATTACCAACGGAGGCAAATACAAAGAAACCATGACTTGTGGCTCCAAAGGAACCAAAAGCAATAATGAGATCTTTTTACCATGTAAACAATCCTTTCCACTTTGCTAGTCTTTGGATATTAGGATGTAGCTATAAACAGAACAGAATGGAGGTAAAAATGATTTGTGTAGCAAACCCTAGTTAGTTAATGTTACCGATTTTACCTTTGTCCTATTTATTAACATATCAAATGATTTTAAAATTCCCCTTCAAAAAAATATTTTTTTTTTTTGTACAAAAAATATTTCAAAAATTTTCCAACCTATACTTTGCTTCGCATTGATATTAATTTGATCAAAGCGTATACTTGAAATAAAAGATTCAAACCCAACTAGTTTGAAACTAAGGCTTGGTTGTTGTTGTATTATCCTTCAGTTGGATCAATGACCAGTCCTACGCTAGGTTGATGTCTAGGCTAGTTGCAATAACTATGTTCTGCTGTCTTAAAGAAGTGAAAAAAAACACTACAGAAAACAATTAACATTTTCAAACAAAGCTAGCATAAGTAAATGACACTTACATCTTTGGTTATATGCTCATGCAAACATTTAGCCTTCTGTTCAAGCTCCATCTATCAAACAAAAATGTTCATGTTATTTTATGGAGTAAACCAAATCTTTATTCATATTGGTAAATAAAAGGGTACAAAAGTTGGTACATGATGAAAGTAGTTATACTTACATATCATACTCCATGTAACCATCCTCTTCTATCCAATTAAACTTTTTTCTCTAGTTAGGAAGCAAGAAAAGCTTGTATAGTAGGCATTGGATTGATTGAAAAAATATTCTTTGGGCTAGACTATATCTTATAACTTTTCTATTTGACTAAAAGAGTTATTCCCCTGACATGAAGTACTAAGGCCTCCATGAAAACTATTTCAAAATTCTTTGCCAACAACCAAAAGAAAGAGATAAAACTAGATAATATCAAAGCCAATTCTGATTCTTTTCTTTTCCCTCTTTCATAGGTTTGCTTTTCTCCAGTATTCAATTTGAAGGTATTGTTTAAATAATGACATATTACATGTATAATTTAAGCTACTTGAAAAGAAATCATTTGACTTAGAGCTTGAGTTAACAAAAAGTTTACTCAAGTTTAAACCAAATAATTTAGGGTTTCCCATAACAAGGAGTCAAAAATTCAAATTCAAGCATCTCAAGCATACCATCAAGCTCCATGTGTGAAAAATATAACTCAATTGAGTTTGAGTTCAATTTTAGCTTTCAGTTTTCAGTAGAATTGACTTAGATCAATCCTCAAGCATTAGATAAAAATAGCAATGCTTGGTGATAGAATCGATGCTTAAAATTAATCAACGTTTTGCAAACGAAGTTGTGTATATATCTTGAATTTGACTGTCTACTTGTCCTCTCAATCTATATAAATCAATTATTAATTCACAGATACTTACAGCAGTAGGCTTTTTGAGTAAGCCCATTTCCACTATTTGTCTCAAATCATCAATCTCTTCCTGCAAATAATAGCACGGGATTTTAAAAAAATAAAATAAAATAAAAAGGACTTATGGATGGACTCAATTCACGCTACGAAATGAAACTTAAGCAACATCTAATAACTAAAAACAGACTAACAGAAAAGTTGAAACGTAATAAGAAAGAAATTTTCAACACATAAGGGTTGTAGAATATGATTTAAAAATGATGAGTGCAAATGACAGGTTGCATTAGCATTGACATGATCACTTGATTTGTTATAGGACTGAGCATGGTAAAATCGGGTAACTATTGAGAAATGAATTTGTTAAAACCATGTTTAAGATAACTCAGTTTGCAAATTAGCTTCATAAAATACTGAAGGACATATTACAAGTCTATAGATTTACTTACAATTACAAATCAGGACAACATTTTCTGAAAATGAATCCTTCCATCAAATCCATAAATTCTAAAAAATGTTAAAACCTAATTGTAGCCCAAGTATTGTAGCTAGTTGCTGACATAAGCATGATGTTAGCAGGAAGTCAACATTTTTCATATGCAATAACAGCAATTCCCAGTAATTTTTTACTCTGTTGCAAGATTGATCTAGGATTAAGTGGTGATTCAGTCGGAATACATATACTTTCCCTGTAATTACTCAGATATCATGTTAATTAGGCTACTAATGACCAAAACAGAAATATAGACCATCAATTTAGCAAAGTGTTTTCAATTGTTATTTTTCTTGGACGATGCACAACCATTACAGCTGTTACAGTTTTTACATTTTTTTTATTTTTTTATTTTTTTATTTTTGGCTTCAAAAGGATTTATAGCACCAGCCATGTGACTTGACATTGCAATACTGAAATCCAGCAAACAGCGAGTCTTATTGGAAGCCTCAACATGTTACAGACTGCGTGATAGGGTGGCTGTAGTTTAGTTGTTAGAATTCTGCATTATGGATGTAGAGACCTGGGCTCAAATCCCAGCAGCTCACACTTTTCATCCGCCAAAAGACAAAAGAAATACCATGTAAGAGGTGCTGGAAAAAAAAAAAAAAAAAAAAGCACCTGCAAAGGTTAACACATCATCTTAACTGTTAAACAGCGTACAAGTCAACTTATAGTACTGCTTGGTGCATAAGCATAAGACAGCATTTAACAAGCATTCCAGCTAAAAGAAAGTTTAGTGTTATTGTAATGCATCATGGAGCATCTGATAACAATGAGTTTGTCATCCTTAGAGCAGGAAGAGTTTAATTACCTCGGAAAAGTCAAAATCTGATAGCATGGAAACTTGAACATCTTTTGGAATAGTGGAAAGTCTTAGAACAATTTCACTATTGGTTTTATCAGTTTTTGAGGTGTGCTTTATTCCTGAGAAGCAAATATAACAATAGAATGAATCCAAACAATTCAAAGAAAAATATAAGCCACCACCCAAGTCTTATAGTGATAATTAAATGCTCTAGTAGACAGGAATGCCTAATTACAGCTAAATTACCTGTTACTTGCAAAAGCTGGTGAGAATTTCTCTGCATGCAGTCTCTTGGATCATTCTTTACTCTCACAAAACTTCCCACTACCTTGCTCCCAAAGCTTTCAGGATCCTTTAACAGCTCCTCCACTAAGCTCCTTCTTAGGTAGACAAGTTTGATATTATCAGAAATAATAGATGCAAAACAGCTTTCTTGGACCCTTGGATCTGCTTCCATCTCTTTAAATTTTTTACCAGAGCTCTCAGTTCTCTGTTTCTTGTGAATTTGCAAGGTTTTTTCATTCTTTTCACGGGAAAAGCTTTCAACTTCATCCCATTTTTCATCCTCATCTGATGAAACTAAGTTCTCAACAAAGTGGACTTCCAGAAGATTATATAATTTATTCTTGTTCATAGATTTCCTCCTAAAAACTGAATAAAGCTTGTCATCACAAAGGATCCTCTTCCTTTTACTTGGATCTAAAAGTCCTTTTTCTTTAATGTATTCACAGATGATTGAATGAACATCATACTGTGATAACTCTTTTGTTGTATCTTTACCAAGATATCTAAGAAACTCAATAAGAGGCTCTGATCCCCACCCCATAAATTCCAATGCCTTGGACCCCTTCCCTTTTCCAGTTGTTCCAAATTCTTCAGCATCACCCAGATCGCTATCAGAGTTTATCAGTACTATGTCTTTTTTGCCTTTGCCAAATGTATTTGATTTGAAGCTGTACTTGGAAGATTGACCCTTCTTCAACCTGGCATCTGCGGAATAGACATCATCCAAACTCAAACCTTCATCTTCTTTTATGATGTCCCAATATTCCAAGAACAGGCATTCATATGTGTTTCGGTCTCTTAAATCTATCTTGCCCTGCAAATTAACAATTCTTCAGTGAAAAAGAAACAATCACCAAGCAAAGAAAAAGAAACTTCATCAAGAAAAAGAAGAGAGTATATCAATATTCTAGAACTCTTAGTTCAAAATCTGATGTCCCTATTTGAATTTTATTCAGCTTTAGATTTAGAATTAGACTAGCCACTTATCATAAATTTCCTCTTTTGCCTTTTTGTTAGCTGGTCTGAACTTTGTCAATAATAATTTAGCAAAAGTAAATTACTGGTTATATGTTACTAATAGATGACAAAGCCTCAAGCTATTTATCCTAGTGAGAAAATTTCATCAAGTATTGAAAAATATCACAAGGATAACTAAAGCTTATAAAACTAATTTTTAAACAATTTAATGGTATCTAGAATAATTGCTTTTCAACAAAGTTTTAGAAAAGTTGTGAGTAATAATATACTTGAAAACAAAGATGGTAGAAGAGCAGAGATGAGAAATGTATGTTACTGGCCATAATACATTGCTTTCCCTCCAAAAGATCAGAAGATCAATTTACAGTGCAACCCAACAATATTGCTATAATATGTATAATTGAATTTGGAAGTAGTATATGCTACAAGATAAGAAATCCATTTCCTTCTCTCTCTCTCTCTCTCTCTCTCTCTCTCTCTCATTAACTAAACATCTATGTATTGCTGAAGTTCAATGAATCATGTTTGTGTTTCACAATCTTTTAGATCTGAATAACATAAATGCTCCACTGACAGAACGAAAAGCTGAGTTGTTCAATCTTAATATATAATTCTTTCTGTTTCTTTATCATCATTTATTGGCATTGACAAAAACCATATTCTCTACAGATTACCCAAACATAAGCCATCAGCTGCTACTAGTTATATACAAGTACTACGTTTGGCATTTCTGAAAGGCAACATGTAGCCTGAGAAAAGCAGTATTCAACAAGCAACTCCATTTTGCTAATTTAAAAATATGAAGCCTTCAAGAATTCAGATATGTCTATAGCACTTACAGGATAACTTACATACCCCATCAGCATTCAAATCTTCTTTTTCTTCTACAAACAACACAAGCTCTAAACACTCGGTACATAGTCCTTTCTTCCCTCTAACAGGTGCAAACTCAGCAGCACCGGTGCAATGTCCACATACAGCATTAGGACAGCAGTAGCAATAGAACTTTGGGGATTTATGGCATATTAGACAAGAATGCCGATCTGAAATTAATTAAGTATATCAATTATAAGGACAATGGCACATAAGTTTGCTGAAAATATTCTCCTATAAAAATTAGTTGCAAAAAGATTTCCTATAATATTCAACCATGAAAAGTAGCTGAGGAACAAGAAAATAAATTAAGGCTCCATTCTTTCACTGAAAATGACTTCCTATGGAATTATGTCCTCTATTTGAGAAAACAAATTATTTTACAGTCTTTATTTGTAACAATTAAAATATGCAAAATATTATTTTTTTTGGCATTTGGAATAATGTCTGGAAAAATTTATTTTCCCCCAATGAACAAGATTATGAGAACAGTTCAAACCTATAACAACCATATATTTTTCCATTTGATTTTAATAAAGAGACAATTAGAGAAAACAAGCAAAAAATCAGGTAAGCATTGCCAATATTGAAGTGGTTGATGGATTAGTGACAATGGACCAAGATGATTATCTTGTGGAGTTTTTTAATCTATTTTATGGTTTGTAAAAATCTAAAGTATAACTTCTCTTTTTCCACATAGACAATCAAAACTAGAAGAAATGGGAAAACATTTTCCACAAAACAAACAGAGCCTACGATAGTAACATGGCTTTGCCATTACCTGCACACATGCCAAAGCCAAACTTATCCTTGTTACATGCTTAACAATGAATGGAATACAATCGTCAAAATGTCATGTCATATTAATTCAATGAGTAATATGAGTGTCTTACCACAAGTCCAGCGTTCTCCAGTCTCTGTAAATGAATCATCTTTTCCCACACACCTTGGATGATAAACCTTCAAACAATCACTGAAGAGAGGAGACAAAGTTACTAGTGTAATGTAGACAGCATTTTATGTTGAGACATGTAGTGCTGAATCCATAGAATTTGTCTGTGTGGGCAACACTATATTATCATATATAAAATTCTAGATAAGTACAATAAACACATGCCAACTGGGCGCGCAAACATATGCATTTGCAAATAAACACAAGAATTTAACAAAACCATCCTTTTCAAATTTTCAGCAAACACATATATGTAAAACTCACAAATATTATGCAAATTAAATCAACACATGAACATTAATAGCATTATTTTTTCACAAGAAAAAATCTTGTTTTTTCTTTTTACTTATTGATGCAGATGCATATTTCTTTTCATAAAATTTCACATTATAACCTAAATGAAACAGGGGACAAGAGAGACGAAGTTCTAAATATTGGTTTCACCATGGTTAATATGCAGCAGAATCAGACAAGTAGTGAGTGATATTGTTGAAAAGATAGGGCAGAGAACAAACTCCAGAACACACACAGGTTCTGAAATTCAACCTCAAATAGGAGATATATATATATATATATATATATATATAGCGCTCTATTTTACAAGATAAATAATATAAAAACTAGATGACATCCATGAAGAATCCATACTTAGGTTACTTGGACACTCAAAAAATAAACTTACCTTCTACCTAACCCCACTAGTAGACTTGCCAACAAGAACGTACATAATAACTAGAGTATCCAAATATATTCTCAATCTCCAACACTCCTTGAGAATTTTCTGTGATACTCCAACCATTTCCTTAAAATCTCAATCTTGCCATAGGAATCTGCAATTACGTCTTCAAACATATAATACACTAGGTGAATCACTTGGTTCTTTCTGCAACTTAGGAAATGAAATTTCACACTATGATTGGATCTTCCATGTTGGACAGTATTGCTATCTCTTGTGAAGAATTAAAGTCTTCATCAATTTTCTTCTTATTTTTCTGAGTTAAATTTGCATATATTTATACACAAAAGAGAAGAGAGAAAAAAATCAACAAAAAAACACATAATTCAACACCTAAATCAAACACAATCAAATCTAAATCATATACAATCACACGAGCCAATACTCCTCAAGTTGGTGCATAGATGTTGCACTTGCCCAACTTGCAAACTAAGTTATGAAAAGGGTTTGCTATTGAACCCTTTAGTAAATACATTAGCAAAGTTGATTATTGGTGGTCGCATGAGTAAGCTTGAAGAGACCCTGGATAATTTTTTCTTTTATGAAGTTCCTGTCAATCTCTACATTCTTCGTATGATCATGCTGAATTGGATTTTGTGCAAAATTAATAGCAGCTTTGTTATCACAAAATAGGGATGAATTCTCTCCTTTAGAAATTTGCAGTTCTTCCATTAACTTCTTTAGCCATAATATCACATGCACCTTGATGCGTGGTTCTATATTCAGCTTCAGCACTTGAACGTGCTACCACATTCTGCTTTTTACTTCTCCAAGTAACTAGGTTTCCTCCAACAAAGGTACAATAACCAGAGGTTAATCTCCTATGATCAGGAGAGCCAGCCCGATCAGCATCAGTAAAGGTTTCAATTTAGTGACCATGCTTAATGAAAACTAAATATTTTCCAAGTGCAGATTCTAAATATCTTAAAATGCAAAAACCACTTCTAGATGAGAACTGCGAGGATCATGCATGTATTGGCTAACTAAACTTTATAGAATAGGTTACATTTGGTCTAGTGTGTGGAAGACAAATCAGACTTTGATGTCGACTTAGATCAACTGAGTCTCCCGCTCCTGTTACGAATTCCCTAACTATATTATTGTTATTTTTTTGCATTATTATTATTATTTGTATTATTATTATTATTAGTTTAGTCTATCCATAATAATATGAATGAGACTTTAATGATTCTATTGATCTATGACAGTGCATACAAATATTCCTTGAATAACTGGAGTTGTAACACTAAAGATTAGTTTCTAATTGTAAATCTCAAATTCCTAGGCCAATAGCCTTCTTGCGCGAGAAATCTTCTTTTCATCGTCTCCAATTACAACCATATCAGCAACATTGAAAGTCTCCTTTCACCAGCAGTTCATCTACATACAAAGCTACAATAAGTTGCTTCTCACCTTTACTTTCTCTTACATATAAAAAATAGCATCATTCTTTCTCCTCCCAAAGCCATGCTCTAAGAAGTAATCACTGAGGGGCCTTCTTTAGCTTGTACATCATCCCCTCTTCTAAAACCTTCAAAACCATCAAGTCACTCCAAAGAGCTTTTTTTAAGCAAGCAATCCAAAGGTTTCCCATCCAGTGACACATTTGCCATCCCTTTTAAGCAGCAATCAGCACTTGTATCTTAATGGTGTCATGCTTCTCTACTAGTGTAAATATGTCGGCATAGTTCTCCCCCAGTTGGTGTGCAAACATTTGCCAACTTCAAGTCTTAATTATAGTTTCACCATATAACTTTTAGAAGTCATTTGACGAAGTAAAGAACAATTCATACTATCTCTATCAACATGCACCTTCAGATTTCTGTTTTCTTTTGTAGACAACATTCTGACCTAGAATGTAGTTTATTGTTACCTGTTGCTGAATTCACAAATCTTCACAGAATTTGTTGAATTCTATTGAAAGTATACTCGATTCTATTATCAGATATCACATAAGTCAATTACTTGAAAAAGAGATAACTCGAGATTTAGTATAGATGATATAAAACCAAGTCATCCTTGTAAAATCATCAATGAACATCTGTGTGCACAATCTAAATATCTTCTTAGCTGTCCAAGCTTTACCGATTGGCAATTTGAAAAGCTTTCTATATAGTTTCCATAATGGCAGCATCCATAAACTTCATTACTAAAAAACTGTCACTAAACCATTTGAACACATAAATGTCATAGAATTTTTAGGTTGTAATTCCCAACCTATTATGCCACGTCTTAGGATTCAGCAAATAAATTCCAATTGAAAGGTTAACCATTGTCAACCAATTTAACTTAGCTATCTCAGCACCATTTGGGCAAAGAAAAATTGCGGACAACCCATTTTATTAAAAATATTTATATTATTATTTGATATTGATATGCTTAATAATAAATAAAATAAATACTAGTATTAAGTGAATACTAATAAACAAAGAATGGAAAACAATATCATACATACACGCACAGCAGATTTTTCTTTTTTCCCTTTTCAAGAGAACACACGTGGGACAAAGACAAGATACGTCCTATCAAAATCATGCAATTTTGACAAGCATATTTATAAATTTATAAATAAATAAAATATCTAAATCTAAAAAACGATGAATAATTTCCCATTATACACCAAAAAAAATGATGAATAAGTAAATGTAAATGATATTAACTAAGAATTAAAATATAAATTCTTCAATTTAAAAATATTAGATGTATATATATATGTATTCAATTTATCAAAAGCGAAGAAAAGAAATAACAAGACAAACAGTTGAGAAATTATTCTAATCCAACCGCTCAGAGGTTCAACCGGTTCGAACCGGTTGAAGCCAGAACAGAAATTAAATTAATATGAAATAATAAAAAGAATACATGCATATATAATATTTAATATAAAATAAGTAATATAAAATAGCAAAGGTACAATGACAGAAGGCAACAAAATCTGAAAAGACAAAACTATGCTTCAAAGGAAGAAAATGCTCCAAAAAAAAAAAAAAAAAAAAAGAAAAAGACCAAAACTATGCTCAAAGGAAGAAAATGCTCCAAAAAAAAAAAAAAAAGAGGAACAAAAGAAAAAGGAATTATGCAAAACCTAAAACAAACAAAGTAATGGGGTTGGAGAGGACAAACTGACGGATTCGTCGCATAGAATTAGGTCTCCGCCGTCTTTGCAAACGAAGCAACAAATCTTCAGAGTCTCTTTTCTTTAAACAATTGTGTCGTTTCTTTCTTTGCCCCCTTCATCGCAAAAATGCAAAAAATCCAAAGTTGGAATCGGACGACTTGTCTGACTTGCTTGACTGCTGGTCTGCGCTTAGGTTTATTTATATTACAAAGACATTAGACATTCTTGGTGATGACGATTTCCTTTTCTTATTCCCTTCTCCCTAGGCCATCTGAAACTTCGGCCATTTCCCAAAAGATAGCCCTATCTTTGCAATGCAACTCTTATTTCAGATTTAATTAGTATTAACTTTTGAGGGTATAAG